TGGCCGATTGCCCTTCTTGTCGCCAATGAGGAGTTTTCTTCAGCAGATACTGAGCTTGTCAATCAGAAAGGTCGGTGGTTCGAATTCCTAGTACAGGTCTTGTTAAGTTGGGTGAATGAGGACGCAGCAAGCCAGAGTAGCTCGTGACAACAGCTCTTTATTATATGGTGAGACTCCAGCAACTCAACCTGGGAGCCAGCTCCCTTTATATACCTTACAACAGTAGTGGTCAGCCAATCAGCTGAGGGTCAGTTAATTCAAACTTCCCGCCAAACAAACCTATTTACATAACAGGTCTAGTACAGGGGTTGGACTAGATTACCTCCAAGGTCCCTTCCAACTCTGTTACTGTTATTATTATTGTGCCCAGAGAGAGAAATATCTGTCTCTACCTAGGACCAAACTCACAGCCTCCTGATTGTGAGGCGAGAGCTTCACCTCTAGGCCACCGCACCACTCTAATTAGGGGAGACTGAAATCCTTGTATTAATTGAAGTTGCTTACACTTTTTTTTTTCCTCTGATGAGAAGGAAAGTTTAGAACTTGGAAGGAGTGGCCTTTTATCTTTCATGGGTTTTCTTCCAACTTGGTGAGGGATGCTGATCGCCGACTTGGTAGAGGTGGCATGATCTCTGCAAAGTTGGCGCAATCCGGCAGCAAACACTCCAAGGCAGAAACTCAGCCATAGAAGAAAAGAGTAGGCAAACAAAAGCATGCATGCATTTGCATGCACACAAACCTTTAGCCTGCTTTCTCCAGGTACCGGTAGGTGTTACTGAGTCCTACTTGCAAATGAGGTAAGGAGAACATAAAATGCTTCCATGATCTTCTAGCACCATGGCTAAAGGTTTCTCAGTGTTGGAAGCCAAGGTGGTCCCTGGGGGGGGGGGGGGGGAAGGGAGGGATGCAACATTTAGGTGGGCTGGATTCTATTCTTGTAATTGTATTAAGACCACACCTAGAGTACTGCATCCAGTTTTGGTCTCCACACTACAAAAAAGATGTTGAGACTCTAGAAAGAGTGCAGAGAAGAGCAACCAAGAGGATTAGGGGCAGTGGTGAAATCCAAATTATTTTACTACCGGTTCTGTGGGCGTGGCTTGGTGGGTGTGGTGTGACTTGGTGGGCATGCTTGGTGGGCGTGGCAGGGAAAGGAAACTGCAAAATCTCCATTCCCACCCGACTCCAGAGGAAGGATATTGCAAAATCTCCATTTCCTCCCCACTCTGGGGCCAGCCAGAGGTGGTATTTGCCGGTTCTCCAAACTACTCAAAACTTCCGCTACTGGTTCTCTAGAACCTGTCAGAACCTGCTGGATTTCACCCCTGATTAGGGTGCTGGAGGCTAAAACATACAAAGAACAGTTGCAGGAACTGGGCATGGCTAGTCTAGTGAAGAGAAAGACCAAGGGAGATATGATAGCAGTCTTCCAGTATTTGAGGGGCTGCCACAGAGAGGAGGAAGGGGGTCAAGCTATTCTCCAAAGCACTTGAAGGCCAGAGAAGGAAGAATGGATGGAAACTGATCCAGGAGAGATTCAACCTGGAAATAAGGAGAAATTTTCTGACAGTGAGAACAATCAACCAATGGAACAGAAGTTGCCTTCGGAAGTTGTGGGAGCTTCATCACTGGAAGCTTTCAAGAAGAGACTGGACTGCCATTTGTCAGAAATGGTGTAGGGTCTCCTGCTTGAACAGGGGGTTAGACTAGATGACCTACAAGGTCCCTTCCAATACTGTTAATCCATTATCTGTTAATTGCCCCCCAAGTTGTGATCTGTCCAACAACCTGGAGTAAGATGTGTGGTGCCCACGAGCATCAAGACTCTTTTCAAGGTTCCCACTTGTTTCCATGTCCTGACCTGGAGTAAAAGCCTCCTACCATCTCCACTTGTTCAGTTAAGATACCCTTCTGCTATGTGCAAGGAAGAAGGAAAAAGAAGAATAAAGAATACTCATGGAGCAAACCAAGTGAACTTGATTAGCAGGATGGGCCCATTTTTGGGAAATTGCAAGATTGCTCAACATCTGTTTGGTCTGAAGGTAAAAGCAAGTCAAATGAAGGTGAAAGACATCGCGCAAATAAACAAGGACCAGGAAATGGCTTTAAGCAAGATCTTTTTTTAAAAAAAAAAGTTTTAAAAAAAATTTTTTAAGACAAACATTTAGTACATCATTCATTTCTTCCATGTGACATTTCGGTGTTATCTTCAAAGATTTCTTCTCTATCTCTTCTATCTTCAATCTCACCAAGTCCATTACAAGGATTTTCCACTAATATAATATTCTAGTTACAACATTTTTTTTCAATCTCTTTTAAAACTTATTTGTATCTCTTTTCTAACCAATAATAAAATTGATTCCATATCTTATAATATTCTGAATCTTCCCTTTCCTTTATCATCATAGTTAATCTATTCATTTCTGCACAATCTAAATTTTTTTTTAATTACTTCTCCCTCCGATGGTATATTTTCTGCTTTCCAGTTTTGTGCATAAACCTTGCTGCTGTTATTACATGTATAATAAAATATATATTATCTTTATTAATTTTCTCTGGCAAGATACCCAATAGGAATAGCTCTGTTTTAAGTCCATACGTTGTTGTGTCATTTCCTCCAACCGTAACTTAATTTTATTCCAATAGTTTTTTGCTTCAGGGCATGTCCACCACATGTGGTAATATGTACCTGGTAACTGGGGGCATTTCCAGCTTTAAGCTAGATCTTGACATTGCTTGCAGACTGGCAAAACTGCTCGACATGCCTCTTAACAGACTATCTTTTATCCTACACTATTTTACAAGAACTAAATTCATAATTCAAGCCCTCTGAACTCCGCTCTTATTCCAAGATAATGGCTGTTGCTGCTCCCTTTCGAAACCCAATGCATGATTTTTGGAAGGGTGTGTCATTTGACTACAGTGCGCATTCCGATTTTGCAATATAATAATTCTACCTTAGAGCAGAATGATATGCCATATTTTATTTTAAAATCCAGTTCCTGACCTGTTGTTGATCCAAAAACAAGAAGCGGACTCTTACGAATGTCCTACAGAAGAAAGTTACCAATTTCCCAATTTATTTTCCTGGTTTACTTCACCACTTGAAGCTGCGTTAATTTTTCAGATTTAAAGAAGTCACAAGATTTCAAGAGGGCATTGTAGGAAGAGAGGCTACGATGGTTTACGGTAGCCAAAAAAAGCAAGAGAAAAATGGATTGCAACTTTTCGTTTTTCAGTTTCTCTCTCCAAGTAGCCTTTGACTTTCAACAGTTTGTTTACTGATTGTTCGATGTTAAAGCTGCATCACACGAGGCTTTCAAGAAGAGATTGGACTGCCATTTGTCGGAAATGGTGTAGGGCAGTGATGGCAAACCTTTTTGGCACCAAGTTCCCAAACCGGAACATGCGTGCATGTGTGCTTGTGCATGCCCCAGAGCACCGGAAACCTGAAGACTAGCTAACTGGCCCGCACATGCCTGTTTTTTGGCCGTTTTTTGGGCTGTTTTCAGGCCCTTTTCAGGCCAAAAACAGGCCTGAAATGCAGCCCCAAAACAGCCTGGAAATGGCCTGGAAAACGCCCCCAAAATGGCCTGTTTTTTGGCTGTTTTCAGGCCGTTTTCCAGCGCTCCGGCATCTGCGAAGACCAGCTGGCAGGCACGCCAGAAACCAGAAAAGCAGCTGGCGACAGCACGCGTACCCACAGAGAGGGCTCTGTGTGTCACCTCTGGCACGCGTGCCATAGGTTCGCCAACACGGGTGTAGGATCTCCTGGGGTAGGACTAGATGACCTACAACCGTGATGGCAAACCTATGGCACGGGTGCCACAGGTGGCACACAGAGCCATATCTGTGGGCCCGCGAGCGTTGCCCTACCTCAGTCCAGCAGACATGTGCTCGCTGGCCTGCAGATTTTCGGGCCTTCCGGGCCCAGTGGAAGTCCGGGCCTCCGGAGTGCCTCCGGGGGGGTGGGGGTGGGGAAGGCTGTTTTCGCCTTCCCCAGGCTCCTAGAAAGGTTCTGGAGCCTGGGGAGGGCAAAAAAATGGGCCTATCGGGCCCACCATGCCATCACGTGCCAAAAGTGAGGGGAGAGCGGGAGGGGGTCACGCGTGCATGGGGGGGGACGGGGCGCATTGAATTATGGGTGTGGGCACGCACGCACGCAATCCCCCCCCCACTAACCCGGCTTTTGGCACGCGATGGCAAAAAGGTTAGCCATCACTGACCTACAAGGTCCCTTCCAACTCTGTTAATCTGTTAAAGTGACTTATTTATTCTATTCTATTCTATTCTATTCTATTCTATTCTATTCTATTCTATTCTATTCTTATACCGTCCTTCTCCTGCTGGACTCAGGACGGTGCACAGCCTCGAATAAAAAAACATCCCAATACAAAATTTTAAATTTTAAAAGAATTAAACAAAATTTTGGCCCAAAATTTGAAACCTCCTGACTAAAATCCATTAACAATTAAAAATATCTAAGCGGGGGGGGGGGGGGAGAGGTTACGCCAGCCCAGCTTGATGAAGTAGGAAAGTTTTGAGGGCACAGTGAAAAGCACGGAGATCTGGTATCCTTATGATCATTTTTCACACTTACGACCATTCGCAGCATCCCCGTGGTCACATGATCAAAATTCAGACAGTTGGCAACTAACTGACTCATGTTTATGACGGTTGCGGTGTCCCAGAGTCACATGATCCCCTTTTGTGACCTTCGGACAACTGAAATCAATGGGGAAGCCAGATTCACTTAACAACAAATGTTACAAACTTAAAAACTGCAACGATTCACTTAACAACTGCGGCCAGAGAGGTCGTACAACGGGACAAAGTTCACTTAACAACTGTCTCGCTTAGCCACAGAAATTTGGGGAATCAATTGTGGTCGTAAATCAAGGACGACTTGAAAGCCACAACTCAAATCCGTTCCATTAATCATTCGTCACATTATGTCCATCTTTCTTCAGCAGCCAATAAAAACACGATGCAACTTTATTACTATAATGTCATTTATTTGATTAAAGTACAAGAAAGGTGAGCTTTGGAAGGCTCTTCATTTTAAATCAGAGAAGAGGGAAAACGTCACACACAGAACTGCACACTTAATGCTTCCTGTAACTCTACCTTAAAAAAAATGAGCTGCATTATTAAAGAGATGAAACACCTGAGAATCACTATTGAAATATAAATATTCCACCAAAATAACCCTTCTGGTGTGTTAATTATCAAGTATCATAGGCACAGGTAGCAATATAAATGGCACAGAAACATCCAGTATTTTTAGGGCCCAGTAAAATTTTTACAGAAAGCAACGACATGATTTCACAGTGATTTTATAAATTTAATCTTAAAAAGGAACTTGATTTGTCATGAAAATCTAGAAATTCTCCGTGATAACTACAGTAGTGGCCAAAATTGTGGAAACCTTTTGGGGAAAGTGTATTTTTGAGGTTTGATGGCTAATAACACTTTTTTTTTTTTTTTTTTGAGTTTCAAGATAATCCTATTCCACTGCTGGAATGGCCTGGGAATAGCCCAGACCTTAATTGAAAATCCCATATCTTAATTGAAAATCTATGGAGCCAACTAAAGAAACTTCTCAGAAGTGACCCAGCAATAAAACCCAGTTAAGAGAAGCCATCATTCAATCTTGGCTTCACATTAGAACAGCTGCAGAACTAAAAGACTTGGTTCACTCCATGGGAAGACCTTGTAAGGCCGTCATTCACGCTAAAGGTTACCCAACAAAGTATCAACTGACATGGTGATTATTTTTGTATATCTCGGTTTTTCTATGGTGATAATTTTTTTATATCTCGGTTTTTCTATGGTGATGATTTTTGTATATCTCGGTTTTTCTACGTGTTTCACTTTTCTTCTTTATACTGTAATTGCTATTCTAATAGCAAATCCTTCATAAAAGTGATTGCATGACATTCTTGATTAAATTATCTTTCCATTGATATATAATTTTATGGTACTACTCCAAAAAAAAGAGAGGTGTTATTAGCTAGTTTTAGAAAATACACTTTTCCCAAAAGCTTTCCACAATTTTGGCCACTGCTGTATAGATTGAACTACACAGCAACTGAGTGATCTACAATCTTAAGAAAATAACTTCCGTGGTTCAAGGATTTCTGAAGTAGAGGATGAAGGAAGGGGGGGAAGTATCCTCGGAGCCTCAAATGACAAAATATAAATGAAATCAAAATTACTTTTTGACAAAGCTCCTTGCATTGGCTCGGGGGCAGGGGGAGGGGTACTCAATGGGGTGGGGAATGAGTTTTTCTGGTCTGAAGGTAGGAAACTGCTTGCAAACAATAAAGGTGCATTGACACTAACCAGAATGACTTGTGAGAGTAACTCATTTTGTAAGAAGTAAAGCAAGCAGAATAAAAGAACAGCAAATTCCACTCCAATCAAGAAAATCAAAGTTCCTTTCGAAGCCCAAACCCACTAAGAAGGTTCTGTGCATCAGATTTGCAAGCTTCATAAGGACGGTTGCTGGAGTTGGGTAAGGACTAGGAATGACATGATAGCTGTGTTCCAATATCTCAGGGGCTGCCACAAAGAAGAAGGAGTCAAGCTATTCTCCAAAGCCCCTGAGGGCAGGACAAGAAGCAACGGATGGAAACTGAACAAAGTGATGAGCAACCTAGAACTAAGGAGAAATTTTCTGACAGAACAATTAATCAGTGGAACCACTTGCCTCCAGAAGCTGTGAATGCTCCAACACTGGAAGTTTTTAAGAAGATGTTGGATAACCATTTATCTGAAGTGGTGTAGGGTTTCCTGCCTAAGCAGGGGGTTGGACTCGAAGACCTCCAAGGTCCCTTCCAACTCTTGTTATTCTATTCTGTTCTATCTTGGTGAAAACGTAAATAATAATAAAATGATAATCTTTATTACAGGTAGTCCCAAATTTATAACAGCTCATTTAGTAACTGTTCAAAGTTATAATAGCATTGGAAAAAAGTGACTTACGATTGTTTTTCACACAACCATTTCCAGCATCCCCATGGTCATGTGATTAAAATTCAGATGCTTGGCATATTTGGCATATTTATCACAGTTGCAGTGCCCCGGGATCAAGCGATCCCCTTTTGCAACCTTCTAACGAGCAAAATTAATGGGGAAGCCAGATTCACTTAATAACCAGTTTGCTAACTTAACAATTGCAGTGATTCACTTAACAACTGTGGCAAGGAAGGTTGTAAAATGGGGCAAAATTCACTTAACAACTGTCTCAGCTTAGCAACAGAAATTCGGGGCTGACCTGTGGTCATAAGTCGAGGACTAGCTGTATACATTTCTCATTGGCTAGATTTGCACAATAGGCTGACTGTAAATTAGCCAACTGAATTTATCCCAAACATTCAATACCATCTCAGAGAATCAGCAACATATAGTACAGTTAACCGTGAGTAAACATAGTGTAAACAACAAATGCTGAGTTATCCCCCCCCCCAGTATTTAAGAACAGGCCAGATCTAAGATCCAAGTTAGATGATAGTTTCCAACATTCACATTTAAACAATAGTTCGTTTGGGAGAAGTCCCTTCATAAGTTCCCCCAAACAATGTTGTGTTAGCCACACCCTTCATATCAAACTTCTAATGATTACAAATGGCGGCACTCAATTCCCCCGTGCCTTTTTTCCCAAGAATCAACTTCCCCATCTTGAAAAATTACGGAGCTGAAAAGGATGAACCCTTATTTTCAAGAAAAGCTACACCATAGACTTAAATTCATTCTTCATGTGTCAAGAAGCATTGAGCTCACTTCTCGCAGAGGTCCGATTATTCACCGCTTTCCGAAGTCCATCCAGCCTGATGTTCTCCAGATGTTGGCTGTCAGCTTTCTGGATAACTTCATCAGCATCTCCCAGCCTTTCGTCATGCCACCTAAGGCAGGGGAACTCCAACCTTGGCAACTTTAAGACTTGTGGACTTCAACTCGGAACTCTGGAAGTTGAAGTCCACAAGTCTTAAAGTTGCCAAGGTTGGAGTTCCCCTGACCTACGGAATGATGGGGTGTCCAACATCTCCAAAGAGACCTGAGAAGGACAAAGTCAGGCTTGGCCTCCTAATCATCGTCATCGTCAATCTGGTGCCGGTATTTGAAATGGACCACCGTCATGAGGATGCCGCCCAGGATACAGGCAGCGCCCAGGACCAAGTAGGCAATGCCCAGGAAGGGATTCTTACCCCCCATCCATGAGAGGGTGCTCAGGATGATCTTCTTGCTCCCGTGGAAACCCAGCACGGGGTAATTGTAGCCGATGTTCAGGTAGTAGGTGCCCGGGGGCAGTGCCGCCGAGAAGTTGTCATGGCGAATGCGGCCATAAAGCTTTCGGAAGGTGGGCAGGGCAGCCGTGCGCATCCAGACGATGAATTCCTCATTGACAAAACCCGTGTTGTTACGGTCGTAGGGGTCCAGCTTGCAGGCCGGACGGGACCAGAAGGGAGGCTTGGCCGTGCCAATGAAGGCGTCGCACAGGCTGTCGTTGACCAGCTCCGGATTATGGAACTTGACGTTGGTGTCCGTCCACCAGGAGATACCCCGTTTATCCAAGGTCACTTTGGCCAGAGAGCCGTTGGCCATCTGGTAGAAGAGCTCAAAGGTATCGTTGAAGAGGCTGTTGGCCATCGACCCGCAGGGCGCAATGGGCATCCCTTCGCTGTTGTACCGGTAAGGCTTGCATTCCTGCTCAGGGTGGCGCAGTGCCCAGGTCACCCCGCTGAGCTGCTCATCGTCCCGGGAGATGCTGTAACGTCGGTTGTTCTGGAAGTAGTTGGAGAGCTGGTAGTAGAGGCAGACGGGCAACGGGAAGGCGACGGGCAGCTTGAAGTGCAACCCGCACTGGCAGGAGCGTACCCGGCGTGGATCCTTGCTGTTGGTCAAGCGGGCACAGGTGGAGCAGTTGGTGCGTGGCATGCCCGTGTAATTGGTGCCCGGCGCGCCCGTGTAGTCCAGCTCCAGCTCCAGGATGGCCTCCGAGGTGAAGAAAAGGCCCAGCCCGACGGCCAAGAAGGCTATGCCCAGCCCGAAGAAGAGTGGCAGCACCGTGCCAGCCGACAGCAACGGCTGCCAGGCCGGCAGGCGCTGCTGGGTGAAGGCCGTGTTGTCCGGCCGGTTCTCCAGCGGAGCCGCCTTGGAGAAGGCGCGACTGACATTGTAAGAGCCCGAAGCCATGCTGCGTGCCCTGCCTTCCCTCCCTCCCTCCGGCCGATCCGGCTCCGCTGGCCCCGCCGCCCTGCCTCGAAGTCCGGGACGCGCCCTCGAATCGGCCGAGCCCGGAAGCCGCCAGCAAGGCACAGCACAGCCGGCCCAGGTACAGGTACAGGTGGGCGGGCCGCGGCTGGCTCTCGCGCGGCTCAGGTGAGGGCGGCGGCCTCGGACGCGGCCTCGGACAGGTGGGCGGGGATGCCGCCGGTTGGGCCCCGCCCCTCCGGCCTCACCTGCGCCCCGGGAAAGAAGGCGCAGGTGAATTCGGAGCCCAAGTCTCAACCCCCCCGCCCCTCCAATCTCACCTGCGCGCCCGCAAAGAAGGCGCAGGTGAATCCGGTGGCCAGGACTCGCCGCCCCGCCCCTCCGGCCTCACCTGCGCCCTGGGAAAGAAGACACAGGTGAACCCCCGGCCCAGCGGGAAGCGGCCCTGCCTACCCACCCACCCGATAGTTTCGAAGCCGGGGTCCGCGGGCGTTCTTACAGCGCTGGCTCTGCCCTCCTGCGGGTTGCCTGCGGAGCGATTTTGCCTGCCTCTTTCGGGAAACGCGCGTCCTTCTTTTGGCTTTCTCCAGCCCATGGATGGAGGTATAGGGAGAACCCCGCCGCGATTCTGCTGCCAGGACCCCCAGCTTCCTGGGGTCGGTGGTGGCCTTTAGGGGAGGGTCTCCCAACCTTGCAGCTGCAAGAGGCTTGGAGGTGAGAGTTGAAGTCCGCGCCTCGACTTCAATTAATGAATGCGATTAATTGTTCAGTGACAATAATCAGCGGAAGAACTTCGCCTCTAGAAGTTTATTTTTATTTATTTATTTTATTTTTAATTTGATTTATATGCCGCCCTTCTCCGGAGACTCAGGGCGGCTTACAGTGCGTTAAGCAATAGCCTTCATCCTTTTGTATATTTATACAAAGTCAGCTTATTGCCCCCACAAACTGGGTCATCAATTTACCTACCTTAGAAAGGATGGAAGGCTGAGTCAACCTTGAGCCTAGTGAGATTCGAATTTACAGTAATTGCAGACAGCTGGATGTTAATTACAATGCATTAGTCTGCTGAGCTAGCCAGGCTATCCAGGCTTAGTTGAGGATGCTCCATCACTGGAGAATTTGCAAGAAGAGACTGGACAACCATTTGTCTGAAATCGTATAAGGGGGTTTCTGCTTGAGCAGGGGGTTGGACTAGAAGACCTCTAGGGTCCCTTCCAACTCTCTTATTCTCTATTCTGCTTTTGGAAGAGAGAAAAGGGGCTCTTCCAGCTGGCCTCCCCATTGCACGCCCTCCCACCACCTGATCTCTAAACCTCCTTTGTCCCCCTCCCCGCGGTCCATCTTGAGTTTATGGATCATATTTTAAGTGGGTGATGCTTGGAGATGTCAGGGATCCTGCAATACCGACTGAGCCATCAGGGGGCAACATTATTCCCCCCCCCTTATCAGGTCCATAACCCAAGTCAGCCACTAGGGGACTGTTTGCCCTATTATGTCATCAATTCATGGCTTTATTTTTCCCAAAGAAAGCTGCAATATTCCAGTAAGACACAAAGGGCAGAATGTTGTACATTCCACTATATTGCCCTGATTTCAGGTTCAGTGAAAACTCACTGAAATACCTCGGTGATCCAGCAGGGGGCAGCCTGTCCTAAAGATTCCCTAACATGTTTGGAGGCTAAAATTAAGCTTGCTGTCCCAAAGGGGGAAACCTTGTCATGATTTGATATGCTGAGGATCATTGCACCAGCCTGAAGGGAAAGAGGCATCAAACACCTGGTAAAGGGAACAGCTGCTGAAAATGGAAGTGAAACAGCTGGTTTTAACTGCGGGCAGCCCAGCCACTTCAGAGAGTAACCTCAAGAGAATAGAGGCCCTTTTGTTGTTGTTGTTGTTAGTTGCGAAGACGTGTCCGACCCAACACGACCCCATGGACAACATTCCTCCAGGCCTTCCTGTCTTCTACCATCCTCTGGAGTCCATTTAAACTCACGCCGACCACTTCAGTGACTCCATCCAGCCACCTCCTTCTCTACCGTCCCCTTCTTCTTTCGTCCTCAATTGATCCCAGCATTCGGCTCTTCTCCAGGGAGTCCTTCCTTCTCATTAGGTGGCCAAAGTATCTGAGTTTCCTCTTCAGGATCTGGCCTTCTAAAGAGCAGTCAGGGTTGATCTCCTCTAGGACCGACCAGTTGGATCGCCTTGCAGTCCAAGAGGCTTGTAGGAGTCTTCTCCAGCACCAGAGTTCAAAGGCCTCAATTCTTTGGCGCTATGTTTCCTAAATGTTTTATTTAGATCCCCAGGGTGATAGGGATTGCCTGTGTAATTGTAGGAAGTTAGCACTCACCCCTCTCCTAGAAGAATGAAATATTTTAGGAAATATTAAAAAGGCAGAATATTATATTTCCCTGGATGAGAAATGGAGAAACATGTTTTAAAGACAAAGCAGCTTCCTGCCCCCCCCCCCACCTTTGTCAATGGGCCGTTAAGGCCTCAGCCAAGCTCACTCATTCCCCCCACCTTTGTCAATGGACCATCATCTGCAGTGGTGGGTTTCAAATTTTTTTTATTACCGGTTCTGTGGGTGTGGCTTGGTAGGCATGGCGGGGCTTGGTGGGTGTGGCAGGGGAAGGATACTGTAAAATCTCCATTCCCTCCCCACTCCAGGGGAAGGTTACTGCAAAATCCCCATTTCCTCCTGATCAGCTAGGACTTGTGAGGCAGAGAATAGATGGGGACGGGGCCAGTCTGAATTTTTACTACCGGTTCTCCAGAATTGGTCAGAACCTGCTAAAACCCACCTCTGATCATCTGTAGCACAATAGGACCCATCTAGCAACAGAAACTCCCCACATGGCACCTGGGAAGATTACATCAGCCAGCAAGGCTAGCTAAGACCCCCACCCCCTGGGAGTCTGACAACCAATCAGGATACTCTTCCTGTGCCCTGGGAAGTTCGAAGCTCAGAGAGGACATAAAACCAAGGCACGCTCAGCATCTCTGCCCCTTTTCTGTTCAGAAACTCAAACCATGTGATCCTGTCCACCATTCAACCATCTGTAAAGATTGCCTCTCCTTCCAACTTAAAGTAAAAACTCTTGAAACTGTAGTATTTCAAAAGGACCCTTTTATTAAGCAGAAGTGACAGCAATGGGTTCAAAGCAAGGTCTGAATACCCTTAGGCAAGACATGTAGGATTAAAGCAGCAGAGACCCCTCCCTTAAGCCAGAATGCAGATTTTAGCCAATACACAAGTGTGAAGATATTTTCTTTACCAGCTGCCTTGAGAACCAGATAACATCATTTCTCCTTTATTCTTTAAAGTGAAACAGCCCACATGGCTGTCATAAACATTCCTCAACCTTAAGGGGATCTCGGGGCTCTTTGGCGCCAGGATATATAGGTTGCAAAATATCTGTTGACAAAGGCAATGCTAGTAAATCGAATCCAAGTCTCCCCCTTCTCCCAATTGAATGGCAGTATCACTTTTAGGGATCTGACACCATCTTTCCAAGCAGTCTCCATGTTTCCAGTGTCTTTTTCCCCACTTGAAGCTGGACCCAGAAGTATATTTCTTCAAAAACCTGCAAACACACACTCTGTCCTTTTCTGGTGTCATCCATGTGAGAGATGATCCTCGCACTGCGTAGTGTGGCTTTTAAAAATCCGCTCTTGTAAATCAGCTTCAGGATTGCATCAGCTGTTTAACCTGGGCCACCGCTTCCTCTCTTGCCCAATGTGAAACCAGCACCTGATTCCACCCAGAAGGGCTTCCAGTCACACAAGGTTGCAAATGACACGCTGCACTTGGAGGTAACTTGGCTCCAGGTGAATTTCTTCCATAAACCCATAACAATTATACCTCTTGGGACTGAAACAGCTTCTGAACAACATGCAGCTAAGGCTTTCGGCAAACTTTGCTGTTGGCCCAAAAAAAAATAAGTCCCTGCTTTTTGGTAATGCCAGCCACTTACTGGAGAAGACCATTTAAAAAAAACAAAAACGAGCAGAACTATTATGTTGCTAGATCAGTGTTTCACAATCTTGACAACTTTAAGATATGTGGACTTCAACTCCCAGAATTCCCCAGCCGGCATGCTTTGAGATGCATGCACGTCAACTCCCAGAATTCCCCAGCCGGCATGTTTTGATTTGCATGCACTTCAACTCCCAGAATTCCCCAGCCAGCATGCTTTGAGATGCATGCACTTCAACTCCCAGAATTCCCCAGCTAGCATGCTATGAAATGCGTGGACATCAACTCCCAGAATTTCTAGCTAGCATGCTTTGAGTTGCATGCACTTCAACTCCCAGAATTCCCCAGCTGGCACACTTTGAGATGCATGCACTTCAACTCCCAGAATTCCCCAGCTGGCACACTTTGAGATGCATGCACTTCAACTCCCAGAATTCCCAGCTAGCATGCTTTGAGTTGCATGCACTTCAACTCCCAGAATTCCCCAGCTGGCACACGTTGAGATGCATGCACTTCAACTCCCAGAATTCCCCAGCTAGCATGCTATGAAATGCGTGGACATCAACTCCCAGAATTCCCCAGCCGGCATGCTTTGAGTTGCATGCACTTCAACTCCCAGAATTCCCCAGCTAGCATGCTATGAAATGCGTGGACATCAACTCCCAGAATTTCCAGCTAGCATGCTTTGAGATGCATGCACTTCAACTCCCAGAATTCCCCAGCCAGCATGCTGGCTAGGAAATTCTGAAATCCGCCCACTTAAAACTGCTTAGGTGGAGAAACACTGAATTGAACTATATTGTCTAGTGGGACCTTGCAGGCGTGCCTTGTCTGTCACAGAACGGAATGAATTAATGGATGACCCTAGCCCTGATGACATTCAGATAATCATGAAAAACTTTTAATTTGAATGTTCTCTCAGACATTGAACAAGGCGATAGTTGAGCTCCTCTTGAATGGAGTTTTGTTTGGCATGTATGTCTCTCTTGGGACTGTCGATGATTCCATTCCTTTTCTATATTTTTTGTAAAACTATTTTTAATATAATTACAAATTATTTTGTCATTATTTTTGTAATTATAAGTAGCTCAGAGCCACTAAACATTTGAAAGAAATAAAC